CCACGTAACTTGGCCAAGTCCTACTTTTTGTTTCATTTTTCTTCATTCATGTTAGCGTGTGTGTGCACGCATGTGAGAGGCCATGAGAGAGATGAGCAACCCTGCACAGCCTCTGGTTACAACATGATCCCTTTCCTACAGCCTGCTGGGTCTTGGGCACCTGTGTGTATACCTGGTGTGTTTCTGGCTATCCAGAACAGGGATTCAAATGGTGGTGGCCATGTGGAATCTGGGTTCTTTTGGGCAGTGCATTACTGCTGCACCATGGAGCTGGCCCCTACTCATTCTGTAATACTCTGTTATTGTCATTGCTTTTTGGAAACCTCTTTTGATACATTTCTTCTCTAAATTTGTTACTATTTGTGTTTTTGTAATATCTAGTACATAGTTCTATTGTGTATGATACATTTATATTCCAATTGCCTATGACTTTTATCTTCTGCACTAGAATGAGCTCTTTAAGGGCACATATCATGTCTAATTTAATTCCATATTTCCAGCATAAAATTCAGTTCCTGACACATAGTAGGGACCCAGTGAAAGTCTGTTGAGTTGAGGCAGTCATTAACTCAAGTTTCTCTTTCTGATGTAGTTGCTCTAAATGTTATATGTTTCAATTTTGGAAACTTGGCAGAGTGATATCTGAAAGATGGGTTTAGTGCTCTGCTTTAAATGGATAAACAGGGCAGCCAGGTGGTTAAGGTGGCAAGACCCCAAATGGCTGACTACACAGTTGAAGTCCCAGACCCAGTGACTTGAAAAACACTCCAGGTATGTATGTCTGCATGTCTAAAATCCTGAGAGGAGAATGGAAGAGGGGGGATTGCAGCATGGCCATCTTCCCCAGGGGAGGTGCTTTTTCACTCTTTCTGTCTTTCTCTCTAGTGAGCACATGCACCCTACAGCATATTTTTAAAAAAGGTAACTGGGTGCCGGCAGGCGACATGGTGGTTAAGGGCACTGGACTTCCACATGGCCAACCACGGTTCAAGTCTCGGACTTGGTGGCTTGCTTTCTCACTTTCTCTTTCTGTCTCTCACTGTGTCCCTCTTTGGTCAAGCCTAAATAAACAAATAAGTAAGTAAAGTTAAATAAAATAATTTTTAAAAGGCAACTGATTTTACATTCATAAGAGTTCATTTTGACTATATGAATTATTAAAGGCTTGCAAATTAAAACAGTAATTATCTCATTGTGTCTACCTATTACATTAGCAAAGTTGGTAAGGAATAATTTTTTAAAGAATTATTTAATTTTACTTATTCATTCATTTATTTTAATTTGACCAGACAGACACATACACACACACACACACACACACACACACACACCCCACACAGACACAGAGAGAGAGAAAAAGTGAGAAGGCAAGCTACCAGGTGTGGGACTAGAACTGTGGTTGGCCATGTGGGAGTGCCTAGCACCTTAACCACCATGCTACCTACTGGTCCCAGGAATAATTATTCATGTGAGTGAGAATGTGGGGAAATAGCCGCATTCATTCATTGCTGGAAGTGAAATTTGGAGAGAAATTGGGCAGTGTGTGTAAAAGCCACAGTGTTTAGACCTCTCATAGGACATTTCAATTTTGGGGATTTGGCATTAGGAAATACAGTAAAAGAGATTACTGCATTTTAAAATTCTCTCATGCGTTAAAATAAGAGAATGCAAATTAAAATTGAGATAACATTCTACACATGTCAAGTTCTGTAACTTTCAGAACTTTGATAGCATACAAGGGGACTTCACAAAGTTTATTGAAAAATGGAATTAAAGTAGGAGTTTATTTTGGTGCAAATATTTTTGAAATCCAAACATGTTTTTTTCATAATGCTCATTGGAATCAATTTTGTCTGATACAAATATAACAACTTGTGCTCTCTTTTGGTTACCGTTTACATGGAATATCTTTTTTCATCCTTTTAGTTTTAGCTTATGTTTGGCCTTAAAGCTAAAATGAATCTCTAGTGGATAGCATAAAGTTTATCTGTCCCCTCCCTCAATTTTCTATAGGGCATGTGCACTTGCCAGAGATATATAGAGAGGGAGAGAGTAGGAAAGTGAAAAAGCACCCTCCCTGGGGGAATAACCATGCCATAATCCCTTCTCCTCTGCTCTCTTCTTGAGATTTTGGGCACATTTTCACCCATCATGTTTTTCAAGCCCATGGGTCCAGGACTAGAACTGCATAATCATGTGGGATCCAGTGCCTTATCCACCACACCTGATTTTTTTTCTTACAGTGAATAATGGATTGTTTGCATATTAAAATTTTTTTAAAAAGGAAAGCCAAACGGTTAAGGGAGTCAGAACCCATATAGCTGACTGTGGTTCAAATCCTGGCCCTGGCAGTTTAAAAAACATACCAGTCATGTGTGTGTGCCTTAAATCCCAACAGTATGGAGAAATGGAGGAGAAGGGATTGCACTTTCTCTGTCTCTGTCTTTCCATTTCTTTCTGGCAAGTATGTGCATGCTCTGGCAATTAAAAAAAAAAAAAAGAACAAGAAGGAAATAAAATTTGGAAAGGTAGATGTATAATGATTTATCTGTGTTTAATTTGTTCTACAACAAGGAAAGCATTGTTAGCGTAACTTAAAAAGTTAATTTGAAATAAATAATACGTGTATGTAAAAATCCTTCTTTAAGTTTAGAAGTCATTTCTTTTCCAATTTATTTCAAAAAAAGAGCATAAAAGAGAGTAGGCTTCAGAAAAGTTTATTTTCATAAGCCCTAGAGATCTTGATTGACTTATTTAGGCCAACGGGCTAAGTTTGAAGTTTAAAAAAATCTAGTGCCTGGCTACAGTATTATGACAAGAAATATTGTATCCTTTTTAAGAGGTTATTATCAGTGTGCTCTGCACAGATTAGAATGCATCTGAAAAAGTTGTCATTTTAGCTTCGTACTTTAAACGGAACAAACTAAGCGGAACACCTGAAGGAGGCTAGCATGGTCAGGGGCCATCTGATGTGGAAAGGCCCCAGCCTGGGGAGAAGGAACTTGGAGGAAACACAACAGCGGACTGTAAATATTTAAAAGGATATTGTGAGGAGGAGGATCAAAGAGTAGAATTTATTAGGAAGCAGATTTCACTTAGGTCGACCTGGGGAGCACTCTGTTTGCATTGCCAGTCAGTGAGATGGGCCTCTTTACAGAGTGGCAGAGATGGGAACACGGCTGGTGAAGCATCTTAGACTCAGCTCCTTTGTCGGGAGGACGGTTGAGTGGCATGCTCTGTAGGGTCTTTTGACTTATGAGTCTCTGAACTGACGAAAAGAAAAACTGATCTTATTTGCATACAAAAAGTGAGATTGGATTAAGGTTGATCATAGATTTGCCTGCCATCTCGTGTGTGTGTGTGTGTGTCTTTAAGAGAGAGATTTTTGCTATAGGGCGTGTGTGCTTGCTGGAGAGACAGAGAGAGAGGGAGACAGAAAGTGAGAAATCACCCCCATGGAGGATTACCACACTGCAGTCCTTCTCCTCCATTCTTCTCTTGGGATCTTAGTCACGAATGCACACACACCTGGCATGTTTTAAGCTCCTAGGTCCGAGACTCGAACCATGGTCGACTACGTGGGAGTCCAGCCATGTAACCATTACATTATCTGCTGTTCCACCATCTTTACTTTTATTTTGCCACGAACAGTTATACTTTCAGAGTTTGAGGTTTACTTCTCTAAGTTGTGTTTTGTATTGAGAAGTGGAATTTAGGCTTCAGTTTCTTTTTTTTTTTAAACTTATTTTTTCTTCCATGATAGAGATAGGAAGACAGGATAGCCAAGCACCCCCAGCAGGGTCTTCATACCATGATCCACTCTTAGCTTCAGCCAGGCTGGATCGTGAGCTTCCACCCAGCATGCATAGGGAGGTCTGAGAACACAAACCCAGGACCTGTCCATTAGGTTACAACCTCACAAGGTGCTGCATTACTAATGCACTACCATCGGGCCCAGCTTCTTGCTGCCTTAACCAAAGGCAGGTAAATAAAGGGCAATCTACTGGGTCGTTGGAAAGGTCATGATGTACTTTTCTATGTATCTTGGCTTTTTTGATGACCCAATAAATGCATTGAACCATATGCTATCTGAGTGCTCAGGGAAAGGCTAAGTGAATAAACCACAAAACTAAGTAGCACCTGATGGTTAAGAGTGCAGCTGCCTGGGTTTCAGTCTGATCTGTATGTCTTAGTTTCCTCACCTGCAAAATGGTAGTGATAATACCAGTCACGGGTTTACTGGGAACTTGGAACATGGTCTTCATTTTGCATTTCTTCTGTGTAGTTCTTCAGGGAACCTGATTATTTAGTAAATAATTGGCGAGTGAGTGAATGAATCAGAGAATGAAATCACAAAAGTTTGACCTGACCTTGGATACAGTGATATGAACTTACTATGTAGAGGTGACATTATATACTCTGACACACTAAATTCAGTTCATTTCAGCCTACATCCCAGTCTGTTTTCTGTGTTCTGCCTAATTTAACCATCTTCTTACTGAGAAATATGATTCTTGGATGGACTTGTTTTAGAAAATTATTTTTTTCATGGGTTGTGATAAAAATACTTGATGTGGACTTGAATCATTACTTTTGGGCCTCCAAAAGTATAAAGCTGACGCCCAGAATATTTTGTAAAGAGGAAGCTGGTTAAAACTGATGGATTTTTGAAAAGGATACCAGGTAATTATGATTGCATTCCCTCTCAGATACTGAATTTTTCTCTTTTCATAATTTTCTAGAGAATGAAGATCTAGAAAAGAACAAAGTCACCTCTTCACTGGCTTCTGCCTCTGATCCAGAACCCCCTTCCTCACCCCACAGGTAGGGAAAAGCAACTGCTTTGGATAAAGTGCTTTTAGAGGTTTGATCTTCTGAGATAAAAAACTGATGGAAGAAGACAGCGACTTTAATGGGGAAGACAAATTAGAGTAGAGGGTATGGATAGTTTTGTCATTTATCAACTTTTAAGTGTGTTTAGGGGCAATGTCAGATCTATTTTAGGTTGTAAATGTTTCTTTTACTTTCAGAAGATAAAACTGTAATAAATAGTCTAGTGTAGTGTCCTCATTTATCTTCTCCTGAAGATCATGTTCAAGTGTTAAAATAGCTGAAGTAGATCCTAGGTGGACTTGTGAGAGAATGCGTTTGGCTTTTACCCATAAAATACATGCTCACGCATGTGCATGCGTGCACACACACATCAGTAGGAGGCAGTCTTTTATTATGTACTTTTCAGATTAAACCATTATGAGGACCTTAAGTTGTCTTTTCTTTTTTAAAAAATGTGTATTTCTTCCACACGAGTGACATGCAGAGGCAGAATAACAAACACCCCAGAGTCTTTCAGGCCCCAGTCGCCACAGTCGCCCTCTAGTCTCATTTTGTTCTGACCACAGGCATATGCATCCAATGTTCCTGGTGTGCTGAGGGAAGTCTCTGGATGCAACCCTGGGACCTTTCCAATGTGGGTCCAGTTGGGCCACAACTGCACCCCTACTTGGTTCCTGATACTTTAGGTTGCCAGTCTTATTTTCATCCTGTCCATTTCATCTTCCTGCCATCATTGACACCAGAATATATAGCAGAAAGGGAAGAGTTGTGCTGAACCCTGAATGAAACAATAAGGGAGTAATTCAGGATAGTTGTACTTCGGAGGGCCCTAAACTAGCGGAAACGCAGTCTGACTGGTCAGCTGATGGTATAATATTATTCTGTTTTACAATAGAATCCGTAGTCCATGCCCCACACAAAACTGGTGACTGGGGTTAGAGGGGAATATCAAGATATCTAAAAATCCTGTGGAGTTCTATTTAGAAGTTCTTCTTTTGTATACAAGATAATTTATATTATAAATATAATTATAGTTGGTTATAATCATATAATAGCTGTACTTTATTGAATATTTTCCTATAATAATGATGATAAAATTTCTTTGATCAGATATTTCTCTTTGCTAAATATTATACCAACTGTTACAGTGTTTAAGTCGTTTAATTCTTTTTTTTTTTTTTAATTTTTAAGTCGTTTAATTCTCATAATAGCCTTTAGAACCTGTAGTCTCCATGAAATAGGTACAACTGACCAGTAGAACCTGTAGTCTCCATGAAATAGGTACAACTGATTTTTTTCTTAAGGAAAATAAAACGGTGAATTCAATAATTTGCCCAATTCACATAGCTACTGCTTATTCACATAACTGGCAATAGGGGGGATTTGAGTTCTGTGCTTGGAGCTACTGAGTTATATATAGCAATCCTTTCAGAAGACACAGCCTCCCCCAGGCTTGATTGAGGTAATTGGTGTTTTCTCCAAGTCCCCTGAGGGGAACTTTCCATCTTTCTGCCATCATCCTTTTCTGTACATGTTGATTTGAAAGGCCTTTGGGAGATGGGTTTTGACACAGAACTGTTTTATCCTCCTAAGAGTAAATAATTTTTTTGAGTGAGAAACTTCAAAACATCCTTAGACAAAAGGAGATTTAAATTATTTTTTTGAGCTTTTTGCCATAGGGCACATGCACTTGCTGAGAGAGACAGAGACAGGGAAAGTGAGATATCACCTTCTAGTGGGGATGGCCATGCCACAATCCCTTTTCCTCCATTTTTAATTTGGGGTTTTGGGCACGCATATCTGGCGTGTTTTTTAGGCTAATTGGTCCAGGACTTGAACTGTAGAGTCATCCATGTGGCATCCAGTGCCTTAACTGCCATGCCACCTGTTGGCCCAGAGATTTTAATTTTAAAGTTTTTGTTTATAAAATCTACTGAGCAAAGGAAAAACCCCAGCAAGTATGACACCGAAAGCTTAGTGCTTGTCTTTGTGTCACTTGGAAATGACAACAGAACTTTCTGTCTTTCCAAGTGAGGGTAACTAGTTGGCTAGGCTCTTCCCATTCTTTGGGTTGGGCTCTCTGCTCTGGTCAGCACAAACCAGAAGGCTTGAAGTGGAGTTTTTTTCCTTTAGATGGCTTATCACTGGCATCAGATGATTTAAAATCTGTGTTTCCTAAAATACCCATCACTGATTGTCCAGAGCATGAAATGCTAATGCACATACTAATTTTATGCAGCTGTTATATGTCCTGTTTAAATAATTTTTTTTATTAGCAGAGTCGTATTTGTCGAAGGCAGCATGCATGAATGCGAAGAGACTAAATTTTAGTTACCACATAAAGAAAGTTCAGGCTACTCATTCAGATGAACTATTATAGTCTCACCTTCCTAATACCTTTTTAAAAAAAAAAAGAATTACTTATTTAATGTAATATTATCATTATTATTTTAATTTGCTGTGGGGCATATGTGCTCACGAGAGACAGAGGGAAAGTGAGAAAGCAAGCTGCCAAGTTCGGGACTCGAACCGTGGTCAGACATGTGGCAGTTCAGTGCCTTAACCACCACACTACCGACAGGCCCCCCTTCCTAATATCTTGAATGATAGTCTTAATCCAAAATTCTCTTGTTCCCAAATAAAAATTAACTTACTCATTAAATATATTTTGGTTGTCTACTATTTATTCATTCAACAGATATTTGTTGATAACCTACCATATACTTGGTAGCATTCTACATACAGAAGACACCACAAATGGACAAAACAATCCAAGCTGCTGCCCTCAGAGTTTATATTCTAATGAGAGAGGCAGAGAGAAAACACACATCATATTCATAGGATCTAAGTGGCATTTTATGCAGTGCTCAAGGTAGAGAGTCTAATAGGAAACCTCCACATGGAGCTGGGACACCCAAAACCTGTACCTTTAATGAAAAGCTAAAGAAAAAACCCTCCACCCAGAAAAGAACAGCAAGGAAACTTGAATGTCCCAAAAGTGGCACTGTGTAAGGGGAGGGAAAAAAAAATCTTCCTTGAGGGGCACCAGTCTGTTGTCTAAAGTCATTCTGCCAGCATCGTCTAGATACCATAAACAGGGAAATTAACTTCCAGCCCTCGCAGGTTGGGAGCATTCCCAAATACTAGCAGGAGCAATGCAGATCTCCTGGGGGAGACTCGGTGTCAGTCTAGTCCCATGGCAGTTTTTAGACATCAGTTTTTAAGCTGTCCTATATTCCAGTTGTGTTAAAATCTCAAAACAAATGTGCCGTCTTGCATTCAGCACAATATGGTACCTGTTATGTCAGGCAGTAATAATGCAGTGAAGGATGAAGCAGAGTCAGAGCAGAAAGAGTGATGGGGCCGTGAGGGCCACATGATATAGCCAAACATCTGGGCACCACCGGAAGTGCCAGTTGAGTAGAAATCTGAAGGAAGGAAGGAAAACAAGGTAACTGGAGGAAGAGGTTGCAGCAGGTGTAAAGAGCCTCAAGTGGGAGAGAACTCGAGGTGTTGGTGGACTAGCAGAGATCCAAGAGGCCATGTGACTGGAATGACGGGCAAAGCAGGGTTGATGGTCAGGGTACCACAAGCTTGGTTCTAGGTGCTGTGCACACAGAGGGAGTCCACACAGAGGGAGTCAGATCGAGTTCCTGACTTCAGGCTTACCTTGTAGTAGAAGAGGCAGATAATAAGCAGGGTTAAGAAACAAAAATGAACGGGAATTTCTGCGCTTAAGAGCATTAAAATAGGCTCATAGCTTAAACCAGTTCACACTTCACACTGGTTCAAGCAAACATGAAAATCAACAGCCTCGTACAGCCATGATTCTTGTTCTGAGGTAGTTGGTATGCATTGGATATTCAAAAAAATGGCTCTGTTTTATGTTAAGAAGAGATCATTTATAAACTAGAAGTGATTTTTCTTGTTTATGTTAAGAAAGGAGGAAAGAGAGAGCAAGAAGGTGAATAAACTCTAAAATAAAGCCCTCTTCTGTTTCCGTCATATTTTTTTTTTCAAAAGAATTATTTGTTATTATTATTACTATTTAATTTGAACAGAGAGAGAGACAGAGAAAGGGAGAGAAAAAAAAAAAAAAGCCGTCAGGTCCAGAACTCAAACCGCAGTCGGCCACCTGGGAGTCTAGCGCCCCAGCCACCACACCACCCCCCAGCCCCACCTCATATGTTCTATGGAGGCATTTCCCAGTCATGTACTCAGCCTCTCTGAGGACGCAGTGCCTTAAATCAGTAATTCTCAAACCTTTACACTCTTAAAAAATTTATTAAGTCTCCCAAAGGCAGCTGAATACCACATGGCCAACTGCACAGTTGGAGTGCTGGAACCGAGGGCTTGAAAAACACTCCAGGCACACATGGATACATGTATAGAATCCCCAAAGGAAGGAGAAACGGAGAAGGAATTTTGTCTTGGCCATTCCCCATAGGGGTTGCTTTCTTGCTTTTTCTATTTCTCCCTCTGATAAACACATGTGCCCTCTGACAAATGAAGGAAAAAAACACCTCTGAAGAATTTTTGCTTGTGTGGGTTATATCTACCAATATATACTATATCAGAAACTAAAACTGCTTTACTGTGGGCCAGTTCAGCCCTGGTCAGTGGTGGCCTAATGTGACAGTTGATTTAAATGTCAGGGAAAAGTGGGGATGGGGAGGGGGGTGTCCTTTGAATGTTGTTTTATTTCAGAATTTCTTCAGGACTGTTGTGCTTTTCAAAGAGCCATTGAATTGACATGTCATCTTCCTCTGAGAGGCCACAGATGATATCTCCAGTGAGTAAGGATGCCACGGAAGAGCTGCGGAAAGTGGCTGGTGCCCTGGAGTCTCATGCCTTGGTAGAACAGGAGCCGCTGCCTGCAGACCAGCCCCAGGTCCTCAGCGAGGTAGGGAGCAAGTGCTGGCTCTCTGTCACAGAAGGAGGAATTCGTGGCACCAGAACCTGTATGCATAATTGACAGGCTGGACTTAGAAATCACTCTGAGGGTAGCTCCCAGAATTCTCTCCTTGTTCCCATTAGGACAGCTCAGGTTTAAATTTTATTTTATCGTTTTCAATTTACATTTACTTCTTGTACATCTTTGTGGGGTACAATATGGTTTCTCAAAGCATGCATGTAGCATGTGATAATCAAATCAAGGAGCTAGCTAGCTATATATCTGTGAATCACACTTTTTTCAGAAAATTGTTTCATAACCTATTTGCCTCATGTACATGTATCCTATGTCTGTTAAATGTTTTCTACTGAGCCCCTCCCGCCCCTTCCTGCTCCCTCATTCCTTGTGCAGTCTCTATTTATGTTAATTGCTCCTTTCTACTTCTTTTTTTAAATTAACTTGCCTCCTTTTAATAATTATTTTTTATTTATTACCATTATTAATTTATTTTTTTAAGATTCCTTCCTTCCTTCCTTTTTTTTTCTTTTGGAGAGGTTTTCGCTATAGGGCGCGTGCGCTCGCCAGACAGACAGAGACATAGAGACAGAAAGCGAGAAATCACCCCCCAGGGGGGATGGTCATGCCGCAATTTCTTCTCCATTCTCCTCTCGGGATCTTGGGCATGCACACACACACACATGCGCGCGCGCGTGCCCGCCCACGCCCACTGTGAGTTTTAAGCCACCGGGTCCGGGATTCGAACCACGGTCGACTACGTGGGAGTCCAGCGACATAACCATTATGCTAACTGCTGGTTCTCCTTCCTTCCTTTCTTTCACTTGACCAGAGAGAGACTGAGAGAGAGGGAGAAAGTGAGAAAGCAAACCGCCAGGTCTGGGACTTGAACCGCGGTCGTCTATTTGGGAGTCCAGCGCCCTTAACCACCATGCCACCTGCCAGCCCGGACCATTATTATTATTTCACTTGACCAGACACACACACACACACACACACACACAGAGGGGGGAATTAGAGAGTGAGAAAGTGAGTACCTTGACCACTACACTATCTGCTGGCCCCGCCTCTCTCTACTATGTCTTCAAATGTTTTCAACTTCAGGGCATCTCATTTTTAATTATTTGAAGAATGATTATTCATATCGCCCACGGGACCTTATTGTACTCACACCCAGTTGGAACCTACTCAAAAAATGAAACATTAGAATGAATGTTTCCGTGTTCTCCAAAATTCTCTTGCTGTGAGGGACCTAGAGTCATTGGACTGGATTTGAGTCTCACTTTTCTTGTTGATCTACTTAGTACTGATGATAAGAATTCTTTTTTTTTTTTTTGGAGAGATTTTCATTGTAGGGCGCGTGCGCTCGCCAGACAGAGAGAGACATAGAGACAGAAAGCGAGAAATCACCCCCCAGGGGGGATGGTCACGCCGCAATCCCTTCTCCTCCATTCTCCTCTCGGGATCATGGGCACGCACGCACACGCGCCCGGCGTGAGTTTTAAGCCACCGGGTCCGGGACGTGAACCGCGGTCGACTACGTGGGAGTCCAGCGACATAGCCATTACGCTAACTGCTGGTTCCCTGATGATAAGAATTCTATAGCGGTTGGGACCAGCAGGTGGCTTGGTGGTTAAACGCTGGACACTCCCACATGGCTGACCACAGTTTGAGTCCTGGACCTGGTGGCTTGCTTTCTCACATTCTCTTTCTCTCTGTGTGTGTCTCTCTCTGGTCAAATTAAAATAAATGAATGAATAAATATAAATAAACAATGATTTAAAAAAAAAAAGAATTCTATAGCGGTGGTGTTGGGAGTAGTGGACCCCCTTCCATGGAGATATGGGAGGCGGGGGCTGTTTGTATTATTATTAATGCCTGTATTGTAATAACAGGCATTAGTGTGGCAAGGACCAAGCTTACAGTTACATTTATAATGCTTTGTAGTTTACAAACATTTTTCTTCTTAGCACTTCATTTACTCCTGAACACAACCTGTGAGATAGGTTGTTACAAGGTTGTTCTCAGGTAACAAGTGAGGAAACCCAGGTTAAAACTCTGAGTGACTTTTTACTAAGGCCTCCAGCTAAATCCTTTGTTTATCCTTTTGGAAAGGAAGGATACCTTTAAGCAGGCTAGACAAAGTATGATTCACCTCATTTAGCAATGTAGATGAAAAGAACCCAGGGCTTTGTCTCCAGAAACAGATACTGTGGAAGTACAGCCTGGGAGGATTACAAACCTGATTTATTTATTTCTTGAAAATACAATTCCAGCCTCTAAATGGATTGCTGACTCACTGATGTGCTCTTCCCTGGGGTCAGTAAGTATAGATTTCTTGTTGAGTTGCCTGCTATGTGGAGAAGAGGCAGGAAATTAAGGCAAAATAGCATGAATCAAGGAACACCAATCTGAGTGCTTTGAAGGTAAACACACTAGGGAGAGATTGCAGACTCAAGGAACACAGGAGCCGGGGAGTGCTTTGAGTATCAAATGCCATTTGCACTTGTCCAGGTAGGTCAGACAACTGGCAACAAGTATACTGTTTAAATACAAATCTTGGAACCAGCCTAAGGTGAAATTATAATTATTTAGAGAACACTGTCAGTGACAGAAAGGGTAAGACAATCTATGACCTGAGGTGTGTCGTAAATGAGAGAGACAGACACAGATACACACAGACTCTAAACCAGATTCTCCTTGCAGTGCTTTGCTAAGTTGACTGACAGTGATGAGAAGTAGCCCTTAACTGGGAATTGTGGCAGGGGACAGTTTGGCAGCGTGGGAGTCACCCCGGACCCCATTCACAAGACCTGTGGTGAGAGGAGCCCCAGGGACCAGCTGTGCAGACCAAGACAGAGCAGGGCACACCCAGAAACAACATTGTTGCAAAAAAGCAGTAACAAACTGTGAGGATATTCATGGGCAAGGATTTATAAAGGGTTTAGAGTAGGAAAGCTGCAAAAGGTAGGAAAAAAAGGGAAAGGATCTTTAAATTTTAGGGAACATTGGTAGCATTTCAGAAGTAGAATTGATTGTCAACTTGTACTTGGAAGAGAGAGGAGGAACGCTGACCAGCACATTCAGCTTTGGATTGGGTTGCGGAAGGTAATGGGTGGCACAGGGCAGCCTTCATTTGGAAAGAGGCACATTGGAACCTGCTGCTCTAATACATCCTTCACCCAGAGTTCTTTTGTGCAGGTGGCCAAGTATCAAGTTCCACAAAGGTCCGGGGACATCGTTATGATCCAATCTGAGCACACAGGAGCTATAGATGTTCTTTCAGCTGATATGGAATCTGCAGATCTTCTGGGGGACCACAGGAAAGGTGAGACTTTTGGGAATGATGAACTTGATTTTTTTTGTTTCCAACTTATGTTTAAAGAAAGGTAGCTTACATTTAAAGGGGGCTGGCAGGTGGCGTAGTGATTAGGGCTCTGAACTCCCACATGGCCAACTATGGTTCGAGGACTAGACGTGAAGGCTTGCTTTCTCATTGCCCCTTTCTCCCTCTTTTTCTCTGGTCAAGTTAAAATAATAATAATAATTAATGAAATGAAATAAATTCTTTTAAAAATAATTTTTAAAAAAAGAAAAAAAAGGCAGAAGACAAAAGGAAAGACAACGACTTGTGAAAGGAGGTCAGAGGCACCAATAGAAGGGATGTTTTTGACTGTGCCAACCTCCCTAAGCAGGTGTGGTAACATTTCCTCATGGTCTGTCAGAGGTAGTAAGGACATGCTTATCCTTTCAGTCTCTCCACCCCTGATGGCTCCTCCAAACGTCTGGACCTTTGCCAAGGTGAAGGAGTTCAAGAGCAAGTTGGGCAAAGAGAAGAACAGCCGTCTGGTAGTGAAGCGGGGTGAGGTGGTGACCGTCCGGGTTCCTACCCATCCAGAGGGGAAGCGTGTCTGCTGGGAGTTTGCAACTGATGACTATGACATTGGCTTTGGAGTTTATTTTGACTGGACCCCTGTGACCAGCACTGACATAACAGTGCAGGTCAGTGATTCCAGTGAGGATGAGGATGAAGACGAGGAAGAGGAGGAAGAGATTGAAGGTAATTTCACTTTAACACTTTTTGCAGTTTCTCTTCTGGCTCAGCCTGATTTCCGGTGACCACTTCCTGGGTTGTTACCAGTTCTCCTCATCTTTTGAATTCAGGTGAGGAATCCAAGAGCATTGCTGGTGAGGAGTTCAGCACGCTAAGCTGAGCGGCGCAGGCCAAAGCGAGACCCTCAGAACATTCTGGTGGGGTTGTGCTGATGCCTTCGTGGGAAGCTTCCTTTCCTTTTTAGTCAGCATCTAGTTTTTTCTCCATCATCTCCCAGGTGGCAGGACTAGGGTGAGTCAGTGCTACTGAAGGTAGAGACAGGGTTTTCAGATCACATATTAACCTGATATTATCTTACGTCTCTCTCAACTTGGGGGTAGTTATTCTTGTCCTGGAACTAAACTGAGTGATTACAATTTGCTTAATATGCCCAGTATCTTCCCTCTCCAGATTGTCACAACTGTCTGACTGCTGGTTACTTCTCTTTCTTTTCTAATTTTTAGGGAGTTTTTTTGTTTGTTTTGTTTGTTTGTTTGTTTGTTTTGCTATAGGGCATGTACGCTTCCCAGAGAGAGACAGAAAGTGAGAAATCACTACCCCCCGCCCCCGAGGGAAGATGGCCACCCAGTAGTCCCTTCTCCTCCAGTCTTCTCTGGGGATTTTGGGCATGCACTTACATGCACCCAGCATGAGTTTCAAGCCTTCAAGTCTGGGACTCAGACTGCCATCAGCCTTGTGGGAGCCCAGTGACGTAATCACTACACCATCTGCTGATCCCGCTGGTTATTTCTTTATGTCCCACGCACAACAGTTTTAGTTTTCTTTCTTTCTTTCCTTTTTTTTTTGGTGCCCTGGCACTTCTCTTCAAATTACATTTTTTTTTTTTAATTTGCCTAAGGTTGCGTGTACTTGTCAGAGAGGGGGCAAGACAGCACACACCTGCCATCCACCCTGGGAGACAGTTATGCTGCAATCCCTTCTCCATTTTTCCTTTTGGGATTTTGAGCATGCATGCACACTTGCACATGTGCCCACCTGGTTCTCAAACTGCTGGGTTCAGAACTCCAGCCACATAGTCGACCATGTGGGATCCAGCCACATTGGCCACCACACCACCTGCTGACCCCAGAGCAGTTTTAAAAGTGGTTTCTGTTCCATTCTAGTTGTTATTTGTAGTGTCTACTAAGGGTGACCTTGAGACATTTTGGGGGTAATGTAAAATTAAGTTCTAAACATTTCTAAGATTCTTTTAGAAAAAATAGGTTCTATTCATTAGTCTTATTCCTTCATTTTCTTGTATAATCTTACAATCAATCTCTTAACTTCCTTCTTCAAAGAAAACTAAGTCTGTGGATGAAGCTACAAGTACGCATGGAAGAGAAGAACCTCATATCTTTTTTGTCAATTTCAAGAAACTAAGTGAACTTCAGAGTCCTTCTGTCCAGTGTGATGTGTATCTGCATTTCCCACCTTTGTTAGCTAGTTCTTTCACCTAGTGAATGAATGGATGTCAGAATCTTCCTTTCTCAGTATCTCCAATAGCTCTTCCTCCCTTTTGGAAATAGCTGGGTACTTTCTGGAGATAGGAAGGCTCCTATTCAGCTATATTATTGTATCTCTGTGGAAACCTTCTGGCATTTGGGATGGGACACTTGTGTGTTGCGTAGGTACTATCCTGATTTTAGCACTCCTGGACTTTTGGATACTAGATGCCAAGATCACCCAGTAGCCATTCTGATGATCACAAAGGTCACCAGACATTTCCAAATATCTGTAGAGGGCAACGACTTCCCCCGGGTGAAAGCCGCCGTGTTATCTGGTCTATCCTCTCACCTTTAGGTGCGATCCGTCTGGTCTCTGAACTCATATCCAAACGCTGTGCCATTTTGTTCATGCAGAACCCGTCCCAGTTGGCGATGTGGAGAGAGGTTCCCGGAGCTCCCTGCGAAGTCGCTATGGGGAGGTCATGCCTGTCTACCGGCGGGACAGTCACCGAGATGTGCAGGCTGGCAGCCATGACTACCCTGGTGAAGGCATCTACCTGCTCAAATTCGACAACTCCTACTCCCTGCTACGCAACAAGACTCTCTACTTCCACATCTACTACACTAGCTGAAGGACTGTGGGGGCAGGGGACACACTGTTTCCTGGTGAAGCAGGCTGCCAGCTGGGGCCTCTTGTTTTGGACAGGCAAGCGCTAAAAGTTCAGTGTGAGGCTCCTGAGCCTCGTGCCCTGCCTGGCTTGCCTGACTATTGACCCCACGTAGCTTTTCCCCCTTCTTGGCTTCTGCAGGTGGTGGTATAGCCCCCCCTGTTCTGTGGTCTTTGACTTATGCTCTTGCTTCAGACTCCAGCAAAATCTGTCTGTGAAGGCACTTATCAGGCAAAAGCCTGAAAGGAGGTATGGCGTTGTCTTTTAAAACTACATTTGTTTTGGTACAAGGTTTATCATTCAGATTGCTGCTCTCCTCCCACAGAGCTTTTATTGCCGGTGCAGTTAGTGGCACCCATTCTCTTTGCTTTTTGAAGTGCCAGAAGAGGGAGAAGCACATTGTCCATGAAGGAGCCCAGTTTTTTTGGGTGGATAAAGCTCCGTCCAGCCTCTAACCACTGCCATGTTCCTGCCTGCTGGTTATTCTTGGTCTCTAGCACAGGCTGGGAGCCTCACTGCCTTTGGAATGATATTGTTATTCTGATGGTTACACTCTTCTTTTCCTTTTCCTAAGCCTGTGTTTTTGCCATGCAGCAAGAACTTTCATGCAGCTTAACGTGACGATCAATGTAACCTAAGGCCTTTGGGGAAGAAAAATGGCCTCCATTCCCTTCCAGTTTCAAGAGCTAGTTTTCCTTGCCAAGGGCAGCAATGGTTGAAGTGAAAAGGATGGAAGTCAGGTACTGAACTGATCTCAGAACCCACCTTGAAATCAAGTGTTACGAAATTTTTTTGTATCATCAAAGGAGGAAGACTGTCATTTGAGAAAGAAAGTTTAAAAAAAACACTCCCCGGTTTTTTGTTTTATTGTCACCTTAGAATATGATCATTAGAAATTTTGCTTTGGAGCCAAATGCAGTGAGACCCAGTTGGGTGCCCAAAGTTTCTGGATTTGGGCCCTTAGGAAAGGTGATAATGAAGCTTCACTGTTGCTGCTGAATGTATCGGTTCTTTTCCTGGCCAAAGCCTGCATTTCCCTGGTGACGGCCTTTTACACCCTATTGGGCTGGAGGTCCAGGAGCGCCACAGAGCACAGGTGGTGCTGCAGCCAGTGTCACCAGAGCCCCAGTGCCAGGGCCTCAGGCAGAGGAGAACGAGACCAGGCAGGGACCTTAGTGGTCGTCTCTACCTCCTCATTTCTTATTCCTTGTGTTAAGTCTGTTACTGCCTTCAGATTTTGAAGAGTAATTAGATTTATTTATTACCTTATTTATTTTTAAAGCACATTTCATTTTGCCTTTGAAACAGTTTCCATATGTTTCTCAGAAGGCTTCCCATCTGTTCTGAGCCACTGAGGCCACCTCTTCTATGAAGTTAAAGATGATGGTTTTAGGAGAACTGGGGAAATGATGATGTTCTATTCCTGCAAGTCAGTCCTGCAGGGCTTTGAGAGGAGTCTGTCCCGTCAGAGAAGGAGGATGCCAACCTACCCTGTACTTAGGGAACAGCCCAGAATTCCCTATGAGAGGTTCTAAGTTGGAGGGAATCTGCCTATTCACTGGGGATTGAGTGCAGAGGAATTGACTAGCCAATCAGAGTTACTCTGTGATTCCAAGATTTCAAAATCCTTTGCCTCCTCTAAGGCGTCACCTTCCTGATGTTACCTTTGGCTCATTCCTTCATTGTGTGGCTACCTCACACCAACTCTCTTCTTGGGGCAGTAACTCCCAGTATGTCTGTAGTAGTATCATTGTCGCAAACGGAGCGCAGTGCATCCTGCACCTGCTGTCTCTTGGGAGCAGAAGGCCCACGTAGGATGGGGCATTGTGGATTGCCACAGCATTCCCGTTCTGAGTGGCATCACACCTTGTTTTAGCTTTTCCAGTGTGTTTTATAGATGATCACTCTGGCCAAAATTTGTATACTTTGTAAGAAATAATTGTAGCGACTGTCTATTTGAGCCTTGAAAAGCAAACTTGCTGTGCGTCATCCCATCATGTAGCTGAGTGACTACTCCTCTGTCACTGAGGTTGAATCATGCCTTAGCTAATAGAACAGTCATTGTGAAATACTTTCTACCAAGCTGTTTTCCATTCACCTAAAGCCTTGCCTTTTTTTCTTTTCCTTTTTTTGTTTATTATTAACTTCTGACTTTCTCTCAAAATGGAACTGTCAGGTCCTATGTCGCAAGCTCCCAGGGATAACACTTATTATTATTATTTTTTTTTTTTTTTGCCATGAGATTCTCTGGGATTACTTTCTTTAGAATCCTGGTTGTGTTGCATCAAGGCAGCCTGAGAGACTCATTTCCATCACCTTTGTGTGCCTGTTCTTGTCTGGTCAGTTTTGAGGTCCCAGGCGTTGTTACATGTCATTCTGTACTGGTTTTTCACTAACAGTTAGGGTTTCTTTGTTCCATAAGCACAAAATAGCTAACAGAAGATACTTTCCTATATAGTTCATTCATAATTCTCATATTAAGTTTCTGAAGTAATTGAACTTTAAGGACAAAGTAATATTTACTGAAACACAGATAGCTACTGAGAACTTATAGCCCAACAAATCCTAAGAGATGATCGTTTCCTCAGTCCTTTCCTGTCCAAGTTTATAGAGCTCAGCAAGAAATGAAAATCATTCGCTTTTACCCTCACCCTGTTCTCTAGAGCACAAGGAAGTACTAACAAGCAAGTGCAAGAAAGTGCTCCATGGTAGGGGGTGATTGGAATTCTCTACACAGAGTGGCTGAGTTCTTCAGTTTCTTCAGTCTTGCCACTTCGTTGAGAGATGGGGCTTTAGAAAGGAAGATGTGTTTAAAGTTTTTTTTTTCAATATTTTATTATGGAAAATTTTCAACAAACAAAACTTTTAAGAATTACATATATTATGTCTGTATGTGTATATATATATATATACATATCACATAGAGTTTAAATTATATACTACTGATTTTTAAACAAAGGTAATTCTAATGTTCCGTTCCTTTAAAAAAAAACAACAACTTTTTTTTAGGCTTTTGTCAGAGGGCACATGTGCTTGCTGGAGAGAGAGAGAGAGAGAAATCATCCCCCAGGGGGGATGGCCACACCTCAGTCCCCTCAGTCCCTTCTTCTAATTCTCCTCCTGGGATCTTGGGTACGCATGCACACACGCACAGTGTGACTTTTAAGCTACTGGGTCTGGGACTTGAACCATAGGCTTTGTGGAGTCCAGCACCTTAACCACCATGCCACCTGCTGACCCTGTATTCTGTTCCTTTTCGCACATGTCCAGCTAGGGAAGTTACTCAACACAGATATCAGCAGGGAAGGTGCCCTACACAGATGTCAGCTTTCCTGTATCAGAGCACCCCTGATTTCTAGCAGACCTATTTTATTCAAAGGGGGTTACCCAGGAGGTGGTCTTCCTAAAAATATTCTTAGTTCCTGTCTTTCAAAACTCATGCAGCATTTCCCTGTTCCCTCAGGCCACTGCTGTTTCCTTTCTGACTGGCATGACAGCATGAGGGTAATCACACAGCTGCTCTGGAAGGACCTTCTTCTAATCTCTTTCTTTATGACACATCCTCAAGACTCTGAAGTTGACACTCAATCCTCAGATAATATGTAGCTTTAGAACAGAAGTAGGTAGCAACTTGAAATTAGACCATTCTAATTTTTTTCTTAATGAATTGACTCATGCACTTTAAAAATACTTTTGTCTTTTTTAAGAAAGAAAAATTCATACTATAAGAAAAGTAAAAATTGTTCCATTGTAATATGTATACGGGAGAGTTAAATCTGAAAGCTCACTGTTTTAATCAGTGAGTTAGATATTACTGTAAAATCTATACATTTCTATAGAAAATTATCTGAGCTTAGTTTTCAGTGAGCCCTACTCAGTTTTCCTTTAAGAGAATTAGGTGAAATCCAGGTTGTAAAGTCCATGGTTTTACATTTATTTTTAAAGATGAGGTCTCTGCAAAAGGTTGCCTTCTAACTCTAAAGTCTGTAGTTCTAAGGTATGGAGTTGAGTGACCTAATACTTACATTGAAGACTATTGTTTTACCAGAGGGGAAGCAGGGGCCTAAGTTAAATAGTTTTGTGACTGATTGTAATTCGAATCCCAGCCCCAGAGGCTTGAAAGGCATGCCCCAAATCCCAACAGGATGGAGAAATGGAGGAGAGTGGACTGTGGTCTGACCATATCCTGTTGGGGGGCTGATTTCTCCCTTTCCCACTCTCTCATCTTTCCCTGGCCAGCCAAGGGACCCTTTGGCAATTGAAAAAAAAAAAAAAGTTTTGTGCTGCCTGAGATCTGTCTTTTTAAATTGGTAATGAGTGGTGAAAACAATAAAATGGGAGAGTGAGGAAAGCAAAGCTATTACATCCCAAACTTTTGCTCATCTAGATTTTGTTTAGTGCTTTAGTTTGCATTGTATTAGAATTGTTTTTAAACCAGAAGCCTTACTAGTTCTCATTGTGCTTATTGGAGAAATCCCAAACCCACTTTGCTGTCTTTTCCAGCAGAGTCAACTTTAGAAATATGTTTGAAAAGGTCTCCTCTGTTAAGCAGAATTCTGACCTGAGGATTGACTTCATCTCTATTTCCTTTGGGACTTAAGAGTTCAGTGCAGGGACCAGCAGTTAGCGTAATGGCTATGTCACTGGACTCCCATGTAGTCGACCGCGGCTCAAGTCCCAGACCCAGAGGCTTAAACTCACGTCGGGCGCGTGTGCATGCGTGTCCAAGATCCGAGAGGAAAATAGAGGAGAAGGGATTGTGGCATGGCCATCCCCCCTGGGGAGTGATTTGTCACTTTCTGTCTCTCTCTGCCTTCCTGGCAAGTGCACATGCCCTATAGCAAAAACCTCTCCAAAAAATACATAAGTTCAGTGCAATGAAAAAAGGTAGTGGGATTAGAGAGAAGCTGAGAGGAGTTGGTTCCAGTTGTGGTACTGTACCCACAGTTGGTTTTGACTATGGCAAAGGAGATGAAACAGGTTAATTTTGCCCAACATCACAGAAGAGCCTAAAACTGCAAGAGTGTATTTGTGTGACAACTGGGTGCCCTGTAGGCTGACTTCCCTGTGAGGTGTAGGATCAGCGCCTGTAATCTATGTGGGATGGTCATACACCCTGCAGCAAATGGAACAAACCAGACAAACACAATTGATTCTCTCTTTTAGAACTTCTATTTAGAGTATCTGTGGGGGCTAAGGTCCTTATCAACCCATTTACCTGATTTCTTTCCAGGTGTACAAAAGACTAGGATGCCTAGAAACCTAAATCTGCTGGAAAGGGGAAGAGCACCATCCCTACAGAACAGCATCTCAGGGGTCGAGGCTATGTCACTGGACTCCCATGTAGTCGACCGCGGCTCAAGTCCCAGACCCAGAGGCTTAAACTCACGTCGGGCGCGTGTGCATGCGTGTCCAAGATCCGAGAGGAAAATAGAGGAGAAGGGATTGTGGCATGGCCATCCCCCCTGGGGAGTGATTTGTCACTTTCTGTCTCTCTCTGCCTTCCTGGCAAGTGCACATGCCCTATAGCAAAAACCTCTCCAAAAAATACATAAGTTCAGTGCAATGAAAAAAGGTAGTGGGATTAGAGAGAAGCTGAGAGGAGTTGGTTCCAGTTGTGGTACTGTACCCACAGTTGGTTTTGACTATGGCAAAGGAGATGAAACAGGTTAATTTTGCCCAACATCACAGAAGAGCCTAAAACTGCAAGAGTGTATTTGTGTGACAACTGGGTGCCCTGTAGGCTGACTTCCCTGTGAGGTGTAGGATCAGCGCCTGTAATCTATGTGGGATGGTCATACACCCTGCAGCAAATGGAACAAACCAGACAAACACAATTGATTCTCTCTTTTAGAACTTCTATTTAGAGTATCTGTGGGGGCTAAGGTCCTTATCAACCCATTTACCTGATTTCTTTCCAGGTGTACAAAAGACTAGGATGCCTAGAAACCTAAATCTGCTGGAAAGGGGAAGAGCACCATCCCTACAGAACAGCATCTCAGGGGTCGAAGAGTTAGACAGTGAGTTTCTTTCTTTTCATCGCTGTTCTTGTAAGGCGTAGCTTGTTTAGCAATTTATGCTCATTTATAGAGAGCAAGTCATTGGATTCACTGTGGGCTAGTGCTTAGGAAGCCATGATACATGACTCTGTGGGAAGTGGGTAGGAAATGGGTGTCTAAAACCAGCTACAAGCAAGTACATTTTCCAGCAACCCAAGAACCCTCTGTTCTGAGAACGGGAGGAGACACTCAGGCAAGAAGTGCTTTGGCTGCATGTGTCTAGTGGTGGTCAGTGGAGCTCCTATGCTCCGTCTTACTCATCTAGCACCTGTGGGCTCCCCTAAGTACCATCCCAGTTTTTCAGGCAATGAGGCTAGGGCAGGATTTAAGACTCAAAAGGTCAGAAATTTCGTGAAGCACTGTGTGGCCAGATTTTGGACATCACTATTCCCTCTGAAGTGTTTCATTTCCCGGCTTGAACCAAGGTCACACAAAGCTCCTCCTGTTTGAATCCCTTGTCTCTAAGAAGACAGTTAATTGCCTAAAGCCTGTGATAGTGGGGCTCATTCACTAATGGTCATTCCTTACAAAGTTCAAAGCCAAGACACTAGCTTTGAAATTCTTTGTTGTCCTGCTCACGGGTTTGAACTCATGATCTAGTTTCTATTATATGTACCTTGATTTCTTTTAGGTCCTAGGCATGTGAACCAGAGTAAATGTCATGGCTTTTTTTTCTGTTTTTAGACATGAGGAAATAGTGCCCTAGGAATCTAGAGACATGGGCTCCTTTATTAAATTTCACACACTCTATCATTTTAAGCAGGTAATTTTGGCTTATCTTGAGGGGTAAAATAATATTTATGAAATGACTTCCAGGAGACAAAGTATATTTTCTAAAGTTCTGATACAAGATCATGCACAATTCTGAAATCTCAGTTTGAAATATTATAGTATATAGTATTACCAAAGAGCCTTTAATTCAGTGTTTAAGGGGCTCTCTTCCTGAACTCTTTTCGTCACTCAGGGTTGAAATGCCTAGTCTGTAATGTTTGTTGTTATTGATTGTTATTGTTGATTCTTTGGTTCAGGCCAAGA